CTGAGGACAGTTTTAGTAAGATAACAGATATTACCTGAATCGCCTCCTGAGCCAGAAGTCCTCCAAGGATTGCATTCACCGAGGGCAAGGCTGGTTGTCCAAGGAACCTAAAATAATTGTACTTAGTGGTAAAATACTTATAATAGCTTTTTGATAACAAGAAAACTTTCAGGCATCTGTAAATTGTAACAAAATTAGGTTGTAATTTCGATCGATAGTTGATAGGAAAAAAGGCTAATCAAGAACTAAAAATTATTATCTATGATCGATGCAACTTTTGTAGGTCCTCAAGAAAATTTGGTCGCGTGATAGGAAATAGATTTCAATCTCAATGACTAAATGCATCAAAAATCTACAGTAGACATTCATTGGAGGATCACTTTTGGAGAGCACATTAATTAAATTCGATTTTTTTTAATGAAGATGAACATTTAGAAATTCCACTCTGGTCAATAACTTTGCCGTTTCCGAAATCCACCCATGTGTATTTTCAACACGGGACAGGCCACAGGTGAACGGCATATAGCACCCAAAGAAGCTGCTTGACAGCATGGCTTTGCTCTTCATGAAATAGACTAGGTTTGAATCTTATGAGGTCAGAATGAAGCCAACGGGAACAAAAATCTCGATTTATAGCATCATTATGCATCATAACTGCTAGTAATCAGATAATAGGTTACAATTCAGTAGTCTAATTTGCAGTAAGATGAGGGGCATTTCGAAGAGTTTCTAATTTAAATATAGCAAGCTATTAAACGGAAACCAAGTCATTTGTTATAGTCTGCGAAATATATTAGAAACGAGAAATAGAATGAATAATCGCACACCCGAGATGGTTTCGCGCTGCTAGTCAATACGAAAAGCTCAAGCTTTGAAGGTCTGTCAAAGTTCACAAGTTATTTAAATATTAAAATACGCAGTAATTACTATCATCAAGGAACATAAACTAAATAAGTCAAGTTGTTTGATCGGGTAAAAATAAGCTAGGCCCGAGTACAGGATTGAACATTTTATGAGCCATCATAGAATGAATAAAAAACAAAATAACACTAACTTAAAGTCATCTGCTTCCACCAAGTCCGATTTTACATTGAGGAGCTTTGACAAGTCCTTCCACTTATTCATCAGGGAGTCGATCGAGGGCATCTCTAAAGCTTCTTTGTATCTACTTAAAACTATATCACAAAATTATGGATGTGCGAAGACATGGGGTTTTTATTCCTAATGGTATACAAGAAAACTTACGAAGTGTAATGAAAAAATTTTTCGGCAAAAGATGGGCCTTTTTTAGGCGGTCTTGGTCGTTCCACATGGCTTGCAAGGATTTTTTTAGGTTAGAATAGTCAATAACCTAGAGCAAAAAGTTGGTAGGAAAAGACGAACCCGTGAGTAGTTAGTGATTCGCGAATCATATTAGATTATTATATAATAAAAGAATTCACCTGTTTTTGAGACATATTTATAGTCAAATTACTGTTCATATTCTTCTTTTTCAAAATATTTTGATCTCTAAATTATTTTAAAAGCAATATGACAAAACATTATGATACATCTCTCGAGATATTCGCTTACTGGGAATAAACGTGATGACCAAGGTCGACAAAGGCGATTCCACTAAACGAATTAACAATACAGGTGAAAAGAATTATATTTTTGCCAGATATCTGGCGGCATTCGTCAACAATGTGGGAGAGCCTAAGCCACTCGGCTACCCAGTTTCCGGAAGAGTCCAAACAATAGAACACCACATCGTGATTCAGAACATGATTCTTTATTTCCTTGATTGGATCTTCAGACACCGCAGTCACAGTGACCATGGGATTGAGAGCTTTTATTTTGGGTTGAGCTGCTTGCGAACGCTGAAGTGGACGTACTAATCAGGGTCTTACATTTGATCCACATGAAGAATAAGAGAACAAGAAGTTTAATGAAGCATCTATAGCAGAAACCTCCCTGTCATCAACAATAGTAAGGCAGCTGACACCCGCGAGGACAATATTCTTGGAAATCTCAGCAGCTAGACCTGACATGCCCAAAATTAGAATGCGGGATCCTTTGAGCTTATTTTGGGCATCCAAACCCCATAACCTTATTTGCCTATCATACAAAGCCGCTTCCTCCTCCGTAATAAGCTTTACATTTGGAGTAGCATTAGATAGAGACTCAGAAGGCATGACGAAAAACAAGGGACTATTATAAGTGGATAGTCCGCTAAAGGATAGCCCTGAAACGAAGCACCAACAAACAAGAAAAGGTTAATATGAAAATTGAGGAGTAATTTATACAAGACTAAATTGATTATTGATTTATTTTTACTAGCATAGAAAAATAGGTTTATTTTGAATTATGATATAAAAAATGAAAGAAGGAACAGGTTATGTAACGATTAAGAGTAAATATTAGCGGAGAGAGATTAATGAATGAAGAATATTCCGTGGTGTACAATTGCATCAGATTTAACGTCGAAGTTAGGAAAATAATATATTTGGTGTTTCTTTAGTAATATGGAAGTTAGAATAGGCCTTGGAATATTATTATATTTTCAAAAATAGAGACAGAGATCAAGTCTTGCAGAATATGGGCGAAGAGTTAAAAAACCTGTTCTTTACGTTGGGAATTTCCTTTATCTAATGAAAATCCGTTTATGAAGGGCATCGCACGATTGAACTTTGTGACCAAGCAATTTATTATTTTTAATAGAAATTGTTTGACCTTGTTTTCGTAACATGGTCATATTGGTAGGAAGACTTAGAGGAACGCACCTTGTCCAGAGTCCATTTCATGCATCGTTATTTCCAGAATTAGACCCTGGACATATACATTCCCAGACGTTTCGCCGGCATCGTCAGTAAGTATTGTCACTCTTAAAAACATATGACAACTCGTCAAAGAGCAAGTGAAGCCCATCCTTTGACCAAATGGGTGCTAAACAGTTATAAAATCTCCCATTCTGCTCTGGCCTATTCACATTTCATATATCTTCCTATCATGCCTTCCCTGTCACAATTTTCACCGTGCTTATTTTTAATTTAGTGTGGTGTGCTCCTTTGAGCGGCATTCATGAAAACCATTCACACTCAACACTGTCGTTATCATTCCCTTCACGCCTGTGCTGAGAATGTTGACCAGAGTCTGTCATATTGTTACGTAGTCCTTCCATGGGTCCTATCAAAATCTCCTTCTTGCCCCTTCGAATCCGTCTGCTATCTCCCAGGTACATGTATTTCACTCGACCCTGGTCCCCACATCTTTGCTATTCGCAGCGTAATTCGTCCACCTCTTGAACCTCGGCGATTAATTAGAGGATAAATCCTCAGAGTAAGTCTCATGGTCATGCCTTTGCTACATGGACAAGGTCTCTTGTAGAATCTACTGTCAGCCAACTAGCTCCAATCACCGCTTCGTTTATTCTGTTTCTATTCCTAATACCAAGTATATGACTTGCCATGGCCTAGTTGCTTGTGTGCCAACCCACAAATGTTGTGGTACAGCTTGTTTTGATTTGTTTCAATGTTGAACCACAACATTTGTGGGTTGGCACACAAGATACCAGGGCATAGGAAGTAATAGGCTTTGTATTATAGATAGAAAAGGAT